CGGGCAGCGCGCTCGCGGGGGCCATCGAGATGCCGGCGGAGAAGGGGCCCGAGGCGCCCGCCGGAAGGGGCCCCGGCATCGGCGCGCGTTCTGGCGCGCCAGCGCCCGGGATGGACCGCGGCGCGCCCAGGCCTGCGCGGCAACGCCCGGCAGCGCCAGCGGGGCCTGCGGACCCTGGACGCCGCCCGCCCAGGCCGAGCACCCCGCCGCGGGCCGCGGGCGAGTGCTCCGGCGAGGAGCGGGCGGGCAGCCAGGCCTCGAGGCGCTTCTGTGGCGGAGGGAGAGGCTCGCCGCCCAGCCTCGGGCGAGCTCGCTGCCTCGCGGGCGCGCGAGCCAGGCGGGAGGCAAAGCAGCTCCGCTCGGCCAGGGGCGCCCTGGTCGGACGCCTGCGGCCCGTCGCCAGGCGACTCGCATCTGACCGACCTCTGGCATCCAACCCGCGCGGTGCCCCAGAGGTCGCAGCGCCCGCGGCACGGTGAAGCACCCGGCGCGGCAGTGCCCCGCGACGGCCCGACGGCCCTGGGCCGCGCGGAAATGGCGGCCCACGATGATGGCGACGAGAGGCGCCCGCCTTACGAGATCCACTCCAGAACGACCGTCGACATGGCCAGCCTCAGCTACGAGGAGGACCCATTGCGGTCACGCGCGCTCGCCCCCGAGCACAGGAGAGCGGCGCCCCTGCCCGCCGACGAGAGGGCCGCTCGCGCGGAGGGGCGAGCCGACCCGGCGGGGCGTCCACTCACTGGCGACCTCTCCTCCGACGGCAGCGTGGAGAACCCCAGCCGGGCCTCGGCAAGAGGCGGCTGGGCCGTGGTGGTCGTGGGCCAGGGCATGGAGGACGTCAGCCTATTCGGGCCGCTGCCTTGGCCCTACCCTCAGGAGTCGAGGGCGGCGGAGATCCACGCGGCCATCGAGGGCATCAGGAACAGCCTGCCGCCCATCAGGATCTCCACGGTCTGCAAGCTGCTCGTGGACGGGATCGAGGCGGGCAAGGCTTGGCGCCTTCAGCGGCAGCGGCCTTACAGGGAGATCCAGGCGCGCCTATGGGCGGTCATCGACGACATGGGCCGCGACAACCTCTCCTTCCACAAGGCGAAGGCGCACGCGACGCTGGCGGATGTCCAGGCCGAGCGCATCTCTGATTGACAGCGCCTCGTCAGCCACCGCGCAGATAGGCGCGCCAGCGAGGGGGCCCGCATGCACATCATCGACGACTCCGTCCGCGAGAGGAGCGCTCGCCAGGATCGCCTCGCCAGGAAGGCAGTTTGTAGGCTGGGCGCTGCCATGCAGCAGGTCGACGCCAAACTGACGGCCGAGGACGGACATGAAGGGCCAGGCCTCGATCAGGTCCGCTGTGATTGGCGGAGCCGCAAGCTGCGCGTGAAGAGCCACGCGCGTTCCCCGACTGCTCAAGGAGGACATGTGGTCGACACGGCACGTGGCTGGACATCGACGGGGACGCCAGATGGGCGCGCTTGCAATGCGCGGGGCGCGGCGGGGCCATCTCGGGCCCATGCACCGCTGCCGGGGGGAGTGGCTCGAGAACTGCCTCAGCGGCGGCGGCGCTCCTCACTGCGGGCGCCGCGCTGCTCTCCGGCCGGGCCAGCGGCTCACATGGCGACGAGCCTGGTGCCAGAGGCCAAGGATGCGATGGCGGCGGCGGACCAGCGGTCGACGGAGCGGCCGACAGCAGCGGAGGGCGCGCCACCAGCAACGCCCAGAGGGAGGCAACGGCGAAGCAGCAACAGCCTGTGGCGCAGTCCAGCCCGCCTCCGCCTCCAGAGTTGCCACCATGGTGGGGGATCGACAGCCGCGACTCCCACGAGCTGTGGAAGAGGCGGGCAGCCACCTCTTCTGCACCCAGTGCGGCTGCTGCACGCCGAGTGTCAGGATGGCGGGGCTCGCGAAGCCATGCCCGCGCGCCCCGACGAGCGACAGGCAGCAGGCGGTGTTGGGGAGGCTGAGGCGGGGATTTCAGCCAACGGGGAGGGGCAGCACTGGCGACCCTGAACCTCTTCGGCGCCTGCGCAGGCGCGTGGACTGTTAGGCCGCTCCCACGCACTTCCTCTGCGGACCAGGAACCAGGTGCGTAGGTTCGCACACGCACAGGTTCGGGCCCGATGCCCTCGGCAATGCAACTGGTCCAGCGTTCGGCCAGGAACCTAAAGGACGCGTTGCGCTGCTGATGGCCAGGTGTGTCGAATGCAGCGTGCATGGCCTCAGCTCGGTGCACGCTGCGTGCCTCCGCGCAGCTCGCTATGAGCGGAGTATGAACCATGGGTGCAGGTTCGCCGACACTCGGGATCGGGCTCCGTTGTCGACGGCTTTGCAACCAGTCCAGCGGGGCCTGGAGCCTATGGGACGCGTTGCGAAGCGGTCGACGAGGTGCTTCTTCCGCACAGCTGATGGGCAAGATTCGTGCAGGCCTCTCGCGCCACGGGCGCCCTGTGCGGAGATCGAACCAGGTGTGTAGGCCCGCTCGCACACGGGATTGGGCTCCGAGGCCAGCGGCAAAGCAACCAAATCCCTTTGTTGCCAGGTACTGTTTGGAATAGTTGCTCTGCTGGTGGCTAGGTGCCGACCAGCTGCAGTATGCACGGCCTGATGTGTACGCTGCTGCTCTCGCCGCTGAGGGTTTGCCTCGGAGGCGAGCGCCAATCCGTCTGGCGCGAAGCGCCGATTCTTATCGCCATTATTTGCATGGGTGAATGCGCGTTTCGCGCGCAATTCCGCGTTCATGTAGCTGATGTCGCTCTGCGACGGCGCGGCCGGCCCGTCTATTCGATGCGGAGGGCGAACTGTGAGCGTAGGTCTCCCACGCTCTGGATCTTCTCCGCTGGCCCGAGGGACAGCTGTGCAAGGCGCCTTGGCCTTGGATGGGCTGCTCCTCAGGTGCGGTGTGCAGCCAAGCTGCGTACCAGCCCGCTAGATCGTGCAGCTGGGGCCTGTGCCTGTTGCAGAGCGGGCTGGGTCGCTTCGTCCGCACGGATCCGGCGCCCGCTTGCTCTTGCTAAGGTGGACGGCTGCTCCTGGCATTCGAGTGAATCTGCGTGTGTGCGCTGAGGCACACGAGACAGAGCGTTGCCACCGCGGAACCAAAGGGAAATGCCTCGGTCCGACGGGCAGAATGAGCAGGGAACTCGTGTTCCTTTTAGACACAATCAGCATCATCATCATCATCATCATCATCATCATCATCATCATCATCATCATCATCATCATCATCATCATCATCATCATTATCATCATCATCATCAGCATCATCAGCATCATCATCATCAGCATCATCATCAGCATCATCATCATCATCATCAGCATCATCAGCATCATCATCATCATCATCATCATCATCATCATCATCATCGGCATCATCATCTTCTTCTTCTTCATAATCATCATCATCAGTATCATCAGCATCATCAGCATCATCAGCATCAGCATCATCAACATCATCATCAGCATCATCATCATCGGCATCATCATCTTCTTCTTTTTCTTCATCATCATCATCATCATCATCATCATCATCATCATCATCCGCATCATCATCCGCATCATCATCATCGTCATCATCATCCGCATCATCATCATCAGCAGCATCATCATCATCATCATCCGCAGCAGCATCATCGTCAGCATTGTCATCAGCATCATCATCAGCATCATAATCATCATCATCGTCATCGTCGTCATCAGCATCAACAACATCATCATCATCACCATCATTATCATCATCGCCATCATCACCATCAGCAGCAACATCAGCATCAGCAACATCATCATCAGCAGCACCGTCATCATCATCATCATCATCATCATCATCATCACCATCATTACCATCATCATTACCATCGCCACCACCAGCACCATCATCCTCATCAGCATCAACATCAACATTATCACAATCTCAGTCTACATAGCCATCGTCATCAGCACCACCATGAATATCGTCATCATCGTCATCAACAACATCATCATCCGCATCATCATCCGCATCATCATCATCAGCAGCAGCATCATCAGCATCATCAGCAGCATCAGCATCAGCATTACAATCGTCATCATCGTCATCGTCGTCACCATCAGCAACAACATCATCATCGCAATCATCATCATCACCAGCATCAGCATCAGCATCAGCATCCTCATCAGCAGCATCGTCATCGTCATCATCATCATCACCATCGTTACCATCATCAGTATCATCGCCACCACCAGCACCATCATCTTCATCAGTATCAACATCAACATTGTCATCATCGTAGTCAACATAGTCATGATCATCACCACCATCAATATCATCATCATCAACATCACAAGTATCATCATCAGCAACAGCAACCTCATCAGCATCATCACCACCGTCATCACAACTTTCATCAGCATCATCAGCATCACCATCATCATCACCATCAGCCTCATCATCCTCATCCTCATCATTATCATCATCATCATCGTCGTCCTCATTATCATCCTCATCCACATCCTCATCCTCATCATCTTCCTCATCCTGCTCAGCATCCTCCTCATCATCATCATGGTCATCATAGCCATCGCCATTGCCATCGTCATCATTGCCATTATCAGCGTCACCATCATCATCATCAGCAGCAGCATCACCATCACCATCACCACCACCATCACAGTCACCATCATCATTAGCAGCATCACCATTATCATCACCATCATCATCACCATCACAGTCACCATCATCATCAGCAGCAGCATCACCATCACCATCACCATCACCATCACCATCACCATCACCATCACCATCACCATCACCATCACCATCACCATCACCATCACCATCACCATCACCATCACAGTCACCATCATTATCATCATCATCATCATCATCATCATCAGCAGCAGCATCACCATCACCATCACCATCAGCATCACCATCATCATCATCATCAGCATCACCATCATCAACATCATCATCGTCATCGTCACTCGCTTCTTCTTCATCACTATCACCCTCCTCCTCCAGAGGCCTGCTCCTCGGCGCCGAGCTGGGAGATGCGCACCCACAACGAAGCCACGTCGATGGCGGCGCTCCCGTCGGCGCTGCGTTCGCTGCCAGGGGACTCTGCTCGGCCCTGGGCGGACGGGGCAACGAGCGGTCCTCCTCCTCCTCCTCCTCCTCCTCCTCCTCCTCCTCCTCCTCCTCCTCATCATCATCGTCATCGTCATCGTCATCGTCATCGTCATCATCACCACCATCATCAGCATCAGCATCATCAGCATCATCATCAGCATCAACATCGTCATCATCAGCACCATCATCATCATCATCATCATCATCATCATCATCATCATCGTCATCATCATCATGAGCACCATCATCATCATCATCATCATCATCATCATCATCATCATCATCATCATCGTCATCAGAATCAGCATCTGTACCAACAACAACATCATCTGCTGCTACATCTCGTCCCCCAGCCACCACCAACAAAAACATCAGCGTCGTCATCATCTTCAATATCATCAGCAGCAGCATCAGAGGCCGTTGCATCATCATCATCACCACCAGCAGCAGCAGCATCGACATCATCCTAATATTCATCGTCGTCATCATCATCAGCAACACTAGCATCATAATCACCATCAACACCACCATCACAGATTTCATCATCATCATCATCATCATCATCATCATCATCATCATCATCATCATCATCATTATCATCATCATCATAACCAGCACCAGCATAATCATCAGCATCATCACCATCATCACCACCATCGCCATCATCATCATCATCGTCATCATCATAAGCAGCAGCAGCATCACCACCGCAACCAATATCGTCATCATCATCATCATCATCAGTGCCATCATCATCGTCAGCATGATGATGATGATGATGATCATCATCATCATCATCAACATCATCGTCGTCGTCGTCGTCGTCATCGTCATCAGCACCACCGTGAGAGTAATAATCTAAACAAAAAATAAAGAATACGATGGTACAGGAGAAAAAAAAAAAACAATCATAATCTTTTTTGGGGCTGTGGGGCTATAGGGCTGCAGGGCTATGAGGCTATGGGGCTATAGGGCTAGAGGGCTAGAGGGCTATAGGGCTATTGGGCTGTTGGGCTATAGGGCTAGGGCTATAGGGCCCAATACGGCCCTATATAGGGCTAGTGGGCTATATAGGGCTATAGGGCTATAGGGCTATCGGGCTATAGGGCTATAGGGCTATAGGGCAATAGGGCTATAGGGCTGTAGGGCTAGGGCTGAAGGATTATTAGGCTATGGGGCTGTAGGGCTATAGTGCTATAGTGCTATAGGGCTATAGGGCTATAGGGCTATAGGGCTATAGAGCTATAGGGCTACGGGGCACCCGGGCACCTGGGCGGGCCGCCGAAATCGGCCACGCAGCTCCCAGGCACCCGGGCACCCCGCCACCCGGGCACCCGGGCTGGCCGCCAAAATCGGCGGCGCAGCTAACCGAACCATGTGAATCCGCTAGGACCCCTACAGAGGCAAGCTCTGATTGGGGAACTACTGATACCTCAAATAAGAGTGATGGCATGAAATAACAAAAAAATAAAGTACGTATACTGATAATGACAATGAGAATAATAATACTGGTAATAATATGAACACACATAAGGAATAATAACAGCAATAATAATAGCAACATCAACAGTTATGAATCAGAACGAGACTGATAAAAAAATGAACAAGCATCATCATCATAATCACCAGGACCATCATCATCAGCAGCATGATCATGATACTGTTGATCATCATCATTATCACCGCCATCCCCCCCATGATCCTCATCATCATCAACATATTCGTCATCCCCCTTATCATCGTCAACAGCAGCAGCAATCTGATAAACAGCAGCATTGACACCATGTTCCCCCTCCTTCGCGCCATCGGCATCATCACCAGCATTAACATTATCACCATCATCATCACCACCACCATCATCATTGGCACAACCATCCGCAGCACCACCATTGCCCGCATCATCGTCATGTTCACCACCATCGCCATCAACATCGTCATCCCCACCATGAACTGCATCGATGCCATCACCAGCATGATCAGCATCATCATCATTGTCGCCACCTTCACAAACATTATCATGATCAGTACCACCACCACCATCGTCATGATCGCCACCATCATCACCACCATCATCGTAAGCATCGTCATCACCATCATCATCCAGATCATCCTCGTCCCCTCGGCCGCGCGAACGGCACCGCGGCGTCCGAGCACGGCCGAGGGCGCGGGCGCAGCGGGCGACCGCGTCAGGGGAAGACGGAGTAATGGAACACATCTCCGATGGGGCACGCCCATAAGGTAGCTCGGGCGCTGGACATACCAGACTCGTCGCCCATCTGGGGCGGCGTTTGGGCGGTTGGAAGGCAAGGCCGTTGGAATGGCAAGCATGACCTCGTTTTCCCCTCCTCCTCCTCTTCCTCCTCCTCCTCCTCCTCCTCCTCCTCCTCCTCCTCCTCCTCCTCCTCCTGCTCCTCCTCCCTCCCTCCCTCCCTCCCTCCTCCCTTCTTCCTCCTCCTCCTCCTCCTCCTCCTCCTCCTCCTCCTCCCCTCCTCCTCCTCCTCATCCTCCTCCTCCTCTCCTCCTCCTCCTCCTCCTCCTCCTCCTCCTCCTCCTCCTCCTCATCCTCCTCCCCCTCCTCCTCCTCCTCCTCCTTCTCATAGCCGGCCCCTGCCGTACCAACAAACATGCCTGTAGGGCGGGCTAGGCGTTTCGCCAAAGCCTCTTCGCCCCCTTCGATCTTAAGTTAAATATTACGGTTGGAAGACGGGCAGTTTGACCATGGGATTCTCTCTGTGGGACCGCGCACACTCAAAGATTTCTCCGAAGGTAGGACCCGCATGATAATGATCTCGGTTCGTCAGGGCGTAATCCTCCTCGTCGCTCCTGTGATTGCAGAGGTTATCCTCCAGACTCCTTTGCGCCATTATCCTTCTCTCCCTGGCGCAAGCCCTCCTCCCGCCCTTTGATTTGCGTCCTCCTCGTCCTCCTGCGTTTCCTCCCCGTCCGCCATCTCCATCACTCATACGCAGCGGCACGCACATCGAAGTTCCTTGGCGCCGTCGCCATTTCGGTGGGCAAAGGCGCCTTCTCCGGTGGCCAAATCGCGAAGCCGTCGGGGCAACCTCACAAGCCACGCCGTCGGGGCAAGCCCGCGAACCGCTGGCGCGCGAAACCGAACCGTTGGAACAACCCTGCGGGCTTCGAGCGGGGTGCGGCCGCGCTCAAGCGGGACGCGGCGAATTGCTCGGCCTCGGCCCTGGAGCTCAGCGCTCTCTCGTCGAATTCCACGAGCGCCCTCCGCAAGGACGCCGGCGGCCCGCGCCCCAGAAACTCGCGCGAGGGCGGCCGCAGTATCAGCATGTTCCGCGCGCGCGCGCGTGGCGCGGGAGAACACCGCTGCCCGTCGGACACGTCCGCGCGGCCAGCGCCCTCATGGCTGGCACAGACGACGGCGACGCCCTCGCGCAACCTCCGACCCTGCGACAGCGTGGAGGCGTGCCAGGACGCGTGCGCCAGGGTGAGCCCCGAGCGGCGCACGGCGCGCGGCCCCGAGCTCTGCCACGTGAGTTCCTGCTCGCTGCGCCTGAGCTCCTGGAAGATCGAGGACTCCGTGAAGCCGCGCATCCATATCCCCTGCGGTCGGAAGCGGGGGCGAAAAAGCTGGCCGGGCCCGCACTCCTCCGACCGCTGCTCGTCTTCGGGGTGAAAATCGCAGGATACGATGGTGGCGCGCCGCTCTGGCACGAGCCCCACCCAACTTCTTCAGCTTCTCCTGCACGACCGAAAACCGAACCTCCATGCCGACGTGTGCCAGCGAGACGCCGTGGATGTCCCCCGTCCTGTGCATGTTCGGGACGTCCACGAGGAGTTTCCTCCTCCTCTTCCTCCTCATATTCTTAATGTGTCGCCTTGTTACTCTTAAGTGTGATTGATAATAGTGATAGTACTACTATTCGTAATCGCCTTGTTTTTATGTGTATTACTCGTATTAGTATTAGTAGTATGCCTATTAGTATTCTTGGTAGTCTTAGTATTCGTCTTATTCCTGCTTCGACTGTTCATATTATCATGCTTAGTAGTATCATTCGAACGATTATTCTCCTTCTTACTAAACTCATAAAAGTATTAGTAATACGCTTCGTCTTCATGTTGTTCTTAGTATGAATATTACTATTCGTCTTAGCATTTGACATAATATTAGGAATCATAGTAATCCGATTTTTCATACTAATTATTAGTGTTGCTCTTATCATATTTCGTCTTCATGCTGTTGCTCCTTTTCTTTCTCCTCCTCCTCCTCCTCCTCCTCCTCCTCCGCCGCCGACGCCGCCGCCGCCTCCTCCTCATCTTCCGGCCGCCCGCCGAAGGAGAGATGCCGGCTGCCAACCTCTCGGGCAGCCCTCGCGGGCGGAGCCGCCTCCTGGCCTCCCCGGGGGGGGCGGGGAGCGGCGGGCAGGCGAGCCTTCTTGTCCTTCTCCCGCCCTCGCAGCGCCTCCTGGCGGCCGCGCGGCGCGCAGGGGGTCCGCGCCCACCGGAACTCGAGGACACGACGACTGGGACGCACAGAGACATACGGGTATTGTCTGTCCTCCTTGGAGGCGCGCGACTAGGGGAACGAAGAATGACATACACATAAAAACTCGGAGGTCCGCGCGGATTTCTCGGATCGGCGCTGGGGCCCCCCTGGCGGCGACTCCGGCGCCGCCCCCTGGCGCGATCCGCTCGCCAGGGAGGGAGGTCCAGCGCCGATCCGAGAAATCCGCGAGGACCCCCGAGTTTTTAGGTTCATGTCATTATTCGTTCCCCTATTGGAGGCGCGCGACCGACCCAAACATATTGTATACCCATACTGTAGCATATCGTTTCACGAGCGGTGTGGCCAGACAGCGCCCGCCACGACGCACATACGATAAGATCTCTCGGTGCAAGCGTCGCCCCTGGGGGGTCGACGCACCCACAACATCAGTATGCTGGGGTGACGCCGAATGACGGCTCATCGCGGCGGCGAGCCCGGAGGGGGAAGTGAGAGGGGGCAGACCCTCTCAGAAGTCGACGGGGTCTCCCAGCGCTCGCGCCTTCTGGGGAGCAAAACGTCGTGGGGCATCAAGGGGCCCTGGACGCCCTTCGGCGACGCGCGGCTGCAGAAACGCCCCCCCGAGGCAGGAAAGCTTCGACAGAGCGCGCCCGTGGGTACACTCCCGAGGGCGGGTGTCCCCCCACAGCTACCCCCCCCCCCCCTCCCCTGCCGGAAGGCCCCCCCCCCCCTCCTGTTTTGTCCGCCCCTCGGACGCTGCCCCTCCCCCTCCCTGTCGCGCTCACAGAAGCTGCACGCACACCCCTCCCTGTTCCAAGGGTGTGGGGCTTAGCTACTCCCCTCCCCCCCCCCCTGGTTTGGACCCCCTTGTCCGGAAGCCCCCCCACTTCCTTTTGTTCCCGCACCCTGGAAGCTCCCCCACCCTCCCCCCTTGTTCGCGCTCCAGAAGCTACTCCCCCCTTTTCACCCCCCCCCACTGCAGGAAGCCTCCCCCTTTTCGTGTGTCAGGGGGCTTGCAGGCGACGTAATTATTCGGTATGGCAGCCCATCCTCGGAACTTCTCTGAAGACACATCTGTGCAGCCACTCGGGGGTGACAAGGTGGGCCCTCCCCTTGCCTCACACCAGCCTCACAGAGGGGCAAACGCATACTTAAGCTTCCAGGCTGTGATCAGATAGGGGAGGCACAAGGACATACTATTACGATATGTCTTCCTTGGAGATGTGCGTCCGACCCGCACATATAGTAGACCCATCTTGCACTATATCGTTTCACGAGCGGTGTGGCCAGAAAGCGCCCGCCACGACGCATAGACTATAAGATGTCTCGGTGCGCGCGTCGCCCCCCCCCCCAGCACGTATAGCATGAGTATGTTGGGGTGACGCCGAAGATATACAGACGGCGCACTTCATTCGATGCACCGTGCCCGTGATGTAGGAAGGGGGGCGCCAGGAGCCGTCTCCTTGCCCAGGATGGGGAGGAGGAGGGGGAGGAGGAGGAGGAGGAGGAGGAGGAGGAGGAGGAGGAGGAGGAGGAGGAGGAGGAGGAGGAGGAGGAGGAGTACTAGTAGGAGTAGGAGGAGGAGGAAGAAGAGGAGGAAGAAGGGAGAAGAGGGAGGAAGAAGAGGAGGAGGAGGAGGGGGAGGAGTAGGAAGAAGAGAAGGGAGGAGGAGAGGAGGAAGAGGAGGAGGAGGAGGAGGAGGAGGAGGAGGAGGCGGAGAAGGGAAGAAGAGAGGAAGAATAGGAGTGAAGAAGAGAAAGAAGAAGAAGAAGAAAGAAAGAATAAGGAGAAGAAGAAGAGGAGGAGGAGGAGGAAGAGGAGGAGGAGGAGGGAGGAGGAGGAGGAAAGAGTAGGGAGGAGGAGGAGGGAGGAGGAGGAGGAGGAGGAAGAAGAAGTAGGGAGGAGGAGGAGGAGGAGGAGGAGAGGAGGAGGAGGAGGACGGGAGGAGGAGGAGGAGGGGAGGAGGGAGGAGAGGAGCAGCAGGAGAGGCAGGAGGAGGGAGGGGGGCAGGAGTTTACCGCCCCTGCTTCGCTACAGATGGCCACGTGCAGCTGCCGAGTCACGGCCTGCACGGGCCGAGAGGGCCGCGCGCGAGGCTGCTCCGGGCGAGGCCCCTCGGGGGAGCAGCCGGGCGCCGTGCCGCGCTGCGTGGTGCGCGAGGCACGGCACAGTGCGGGAGCGGCCAAGAGGGGGGCGGCCAAGAGGGGGGCGTCCAAGAGGGGGGGGTGCGCGGCCCAGGGGGGAGCGGCCAAGAGGGGGGCGGCCAAGAGGGTGGCGGCCAAGAGGGTGGCGGCCAAGAGGGTGGCGGCCAAGAGGGGGGCGGCCAAGAGGGGGGGGTGCGCGGCCCAGGGGGGGGGCAGGGTCACAACGAAATAAGAAGAGGCGCCATGAGATCTGCGGAAACATCATGGCCCACGCCATGATATCCACCCCCCCCTGGTCATCACCCCCCTCCTTGCCGCCTCCGAACAGTGCGGTGCATAGGCCACGCGGCCGGGACAGGCACGGGACGCACAGAGACATACTGATACTAGATGTCCGCCTGGGAGGCGCGCGTCCGACCCGAACATATAGTACACCCATCTTGTAGGATATCCTTTCCCGAGCGGTGTGGGCCAGAAAGCGCCCGCCACGACGCATACAAGATTTCTCGGTGCGCGCGTCGCCCCTGGGGGGGCGACGAACACATAGTATAAGTATGTTGGGGGGACGCCGAAGGCATGGTGATACGGTGAGGGCATCGGATAAGGAAACATTGGATAAGGAATCCAGGGTCTGGGAGCCAGTGGAGCTCCAGTTGAGGCGTGGTCATGGATATCACCGCCACCCTCATCAGACAAGGAATCCCCCAGTGTCTGAAGCCTCCTGGGCAGATTCCTGAACCAACGCTCCCACCACAATTTAGGGAAACGAACAATGGCATAAACAGAAAAATTCAGAGGTCCGCGCGGACCTCCGAGCTTTTCTGCTCATGTCTTTCTTCGTCCCCCTATATTTGCTTCCACTTTGTTCATGGACTCTTGAATGCGCCAGAGCGGCGGACCGCCACGCTGTGCCGTCTCAGTGTCGCCGGGGGGGGGGGCAACGCCACTCCTGCGGAGCAAGCTTACGTCCAGAACTGTCTGGCGCAAGTCGTGGACGTTGAGCGGAAAAATTACCCACAACACACACCCCAGAGAGGGATCGAAATCGTCTCCTCGTTCGCCTCGCGGTCTCAATAGACACCCTCATCTTCTCCGACACCATCTGGGGGGTCCGAGATTCTTCTGAAGGCAGACAAACAAGATAAGCACAAACTGTTGGAGGTCCGCGCGGGCTTCTTGGAGCCGCCCTGGACCCCCCATCCCTGGCGCGCGGAGCGCGCCTGGGGCGGCACTGAAGGCGCCGCCAAGGGGGGGGGGAGCAGCGCAGATGCAAGAAAGCCGAGCGGAGCGAGCTCCGGCAAGATCCGACAATGTAGCATTATGCGACTCTGCTGTGTTTTTGTCTTCGATATTCCTCCCACTCGATATTTCAGTGTGACCCTCCACCTCCCTCTAACCTTAGAAGGGTCATTCTTTTCAAAACGGGAACATCATCATCTCACCCGCGGGCTTCTTGACCATTTGGGGCACCCGCCACTACGTGGAAAATGAATATTCCCCTGTGGCGACCACCGCTGATGATCGGGTGGGAGGGGGAAACCAGATGGTGACGGTGATGGTGATGGTGATGATGGTGGTGCTGATGGTGAAAACGATGCCGATCATGACGATGATGGTGACGATGATGACGATGATGATGATGTTGATGATGATGATGCTGATGATGATGATGGTGGTGATGATGATGTTGATGATGATGACGATGACGATGACGGTGCGGATGATGATGACGATGCTGATGCTGATGATGATGGGGGTGATGATGATGTTGATGATGATGGTGATGGTGATGCTGGTGATGCTGATTATGATTACGATGGTGACGATGCTGGAGCTGCTTTTGCTGCTATTGCTGCTGATGATGATGATGATGATGATGATGATGCTGCTGCTGCTGATGATGATGATGATGATGGTGATGGTGATGGTGATGGTGATGGTGATGGTGATGGTGATGGTGATGGTGGTGATGGTGACGCTGATGATACTGCTGCTGATGATGATGAGGAGGAGGGGAAGAACGAGGAGGGGCATGACGAGTTGAATTGTCAGCCGAGAGCTTTGGAGGAGGGGGCCAGGCAGCATTAAAGACCGTTTGAAGTTACCCGCCCATATCCCCCTACTAGAGGCCTCCTAGATGAGGTCCGAGAAGATGGAGTCGGAGGATCACGCCGCATCGTCGATGCATCGCTGATGCATCGGCGACGCAACGGCGATACATCGGCGACGTCGGCGATGCCTCGGCGACACTGGCGTGGAGATAGTCGGGATACACGTCGAGCCGCATCGCCGATGCATCTGCGATGCGGCGCGATCCACCGACCCCATCTACTTCGACCCCACTTGGAAAGCCTAGACCTAACCCTGGAAGGCAATGATCAAACCCCCAGTGTTATCCATAGAACCGAAGCCCCTAGTGAATTCTGGAGGGAATGCATTAATTCTCGAGGGGTGGGGGGCGAGATCGTGCCCTGGGAGCGCCCTAGGGCGAGAGCCACATGTTGGAAGGGACCCGCCGTCCATCCATCAAATTCTTTTATAAACTCTTAAACCGAATGCGCGCGACGCCGAGTCGAGAGCCACATTCTGAACAGAACCCACCCCCCATCCGAGGCGAACGTGTGCGGCGCTCTGGCGGCGACCGCATGCTGAAAAGGAGGGCCCGCCCTCTATCCTTGACGCTCTCTTGCAAGCGTTGAAGATGAATTTGTGCGCGGCGCTGAGGCCAGAGCCACATTTTGAAGAGGATCAGCCCCCCCTCCGTCAAAATGTTGCGAGCTTTCCAGATGAGTGTGCGCGGCGCTGCGGCGAGAGCCGCATCTTCGCCAAAAGAGGGGGGGGGAGTTTGACTGCCAGGGCCCGGAGTGAATCATTTTCGCCTGAAGGGAGGGAGGAATAGAGGAGAAGGAGGAGGAGGAGGAGGAGGAGGAAGAGAGGAGAAGGAGGAGGAGGAGGAGGAAGAGAAGGAGGAAGAGGAGGAGGAGGAGGAAGGAGAGGATGAGGAGGAGGAGGAGGAAGAGAAGGAGGAAGAGGAGGAGGAGGAGGAGGAGCAGGAGCAGGAGGGGGGGGGAGGAGGGGGAGGCGATAGTTGCTGCCCAAGGCTCTGCCCGCCCTGTCCTCCTCTCCTCCGTGCGCGGCCGCGGCTGTGGGCCGCCGCGGGCCGTGGCCGGCGGGGCTCGCTCTGCGCAGCCCGTCCCCTTGGTTCCGCCCACTTCTTCTTCTTCTTCTTCTTCTTCTTCTTCTTCTTCTTATTCTTCGTCTTCTTCTTCTTCTTCTTCTTCTTGATCGTCTTCTTCTGCTTCTTCTTCACGTCCTGATTTCCTCCTGCTCCACCTCCTCCTCCTCCTCCTCCTCCTCCTCCTCCTCCTCCTCCTCCATCCCTATTCCTTATAAGAGATTTCTCCCTGTCACACCCCGAGGCTAGTTTTGAGGGCGGGCCGGGCGTTTCGTCTGAGACTCCCTCACCAGTTATGACTCTGCAGCTTAAACATGACAACAACAGGTTCACATTTTGAGGGCGGGAGGTTTTGAAAATGTGGCTCTCGCCTTAGCGCCACGCACATTCGTCTTCAAAAGGTGCAAGAGCTTCACGGATTGAGGGCGGGTGGTTTTCAATGTCTGGCTCTCGCCTTACCGCCGCACACATTCGTTGTAAACAAATACAACAGCTTCACTGCTTTAGGGCAGTTCATTCTCAAAATGTGGCTCTCGCCTTACCGCGGCGCACATTCGTTTTCGAAATCTACAAGAGTTTCACTCATTCAGGGCGGCTCCTTTTCAAGATGTGGCTCTCGCTTTAGCGCCGCGCGCATTCGTTTTTTTTAAACTCGCAAAAGTTTCACGAATTCCCATGATCAGCGTAGCAGAAATGGCGTTTGAGAAGGATTCAGGATTATGCGGGTGCAACAGTTATCTTGATTCGCGGTGTTGGAATCCCCCAAATTGCGTTTTGGCGCGGGTCCAGGTCGTCAGGACGCAGCAGTCAGGTTGATCCGTGGCGTGGAAATCCCGAGAACAATCTTTTGGTATGCCTCAAGTGCTTCAAGGTCTTCACACGGTTGTCTTCCAACGAAGCAGTTCCCTCAATGGACATGAACCGTCGTAGGGGCCTATGAAGAGGGAGCTTGGAGGAAGGGTAAATTCCAACATCGTTGATGACTCTTGGGTTTAGACTTGTCCTCCTCCTCCTCCTCCTCCTCCTCCTCATCATCATCATCATCATCATCATCATCATCATCATCATCATCATCATCATCATCATCATCATCATCATCATCATCATCATCATCATCATCATCATCATCATCATCATCATCATCATCATCGTCATCGTCATCATCATCATCATCATCATCATCATCATCATCATCATCATCATCATCATCATCACCCTCCTCCTCACCCTCCTCCTCACACTCCTCCTCCCTCTCCCTCTCCTCCTCGTCCTCCTGCTCCTCCTCCTCCTCCCATTCCTCCTCTTCTTGTTCCTCTTCCTCTTCCTCCGTCTCGTTGTCCTCTTCCCCTTCCCCCCGATACGTCCTTCTCGGCGGCTCCCGGAGCGGCGCAACCCAGAAGGCTGCGCTTGCACGGTGGCGGGACTTGCCGCGGGCAGCTGGATCTGTAGGGAGGGGCCCTGGCGGGCCTGGAACATCTGGGCCAGCCGGAACTCGTCGCTCTGCAGGTAGCGCACCTCGCGAGCTTGGTCCTCCTCCCCCTCCTCCCTCCTCCGCCACCTGTTTCCCGTTTTCCTCCTCCTCCTCCCCCTACCTCCTCACTCTCATCCTCCTCCCTCCTCCTCCCTCCTCTCCTCCTCCTCCCTCCTCCTCTCCTCCCCTCCTCCTACCCACCCCGTCTCCTCCTCCTCTTCCTCTTGCCTCCTCCTCCTCCTCCTCGCCGCCTCCTCCTCTTCCTCCTCCGTCGTCGATCCTCTTACCCTCCTCCTACCTCCTCCTCCTCCTCTCCTCCTCCTCCTCCTCCTCCTCCTCCTCCTCCTCCTCCTCCTCCTCCTCCTCCTCCTCTTCCTCTTCCTCTTCCTCATCCTCCTCCTCCGTTTGCAACGTCGGAGACTCACTGTACGGTTCGTATTCGTGTCGCCCACGCTCTTCACCTCGCCGTTTCACTCCGTGTCAATGGCCTTCCCTGCTTTTTAGGGTGTGCAGCACGGTTGGGTGGCAGTGGTGGTTGTAGACGCGGCTACCGACAACTGTCCATGGAAATGTATATGTTCGGGGTCTCGTCCCTGGTCTGGCACACGCTCATGCACTTGTTAACTTTCCGCGCCGATGGTCTTCTTCCCGCTCAGGAGCTTTGCGGCATGTGGGTTTGCAATGTTTGTCTGTCATTGACAAATACGACGGCAGACTTCACACATATGTCTCGCTGTTGTCTGTTACAGGGTCCTTCTTCGTCGTGATGGTGTTGGTTGATGCCTTCGACTGCGTGACCAAGTGGGACGATGTATCTGCATTCGCTGGTTATTCTCGTGGGTTGGGTGTTTAGTGTGTCGTGCGCCAGCCCATTCATTTCATGTTGTGCTGGGTCCACTGTGCTGGCCGTCGGCCTTGTCGTAGTTACGCTGCTGCACGAGATTGATGCTTGTCGTTTACCCCCGTTGGCACCCACGTTGACAAGAGCGTGTTCCGTTGTCGCCTTACCCTTCGGTCGGAAGAAGTGGGTAGAAGCACGAAGCAGGAAGCGGTTCGAAGTAGATTGGGCTTCCGCCCGCCCCCTGAGGAGGAGGGGAGATGGAAGACCGCTCGACCTATGAAGTAGGAAGGCGCCTATGGTAGACTGGGATCTGGGCATCCAACAAGACCTGCTCTCGAGGTTGTCCTGGCGGTCGAGATGATGGTCGCGGAGTTCGAGGTGGAGGGCCCAGCCAGGGTGAAGCCCGCGGCGGGGGGGAGAACCACTCCTCCTCCTCCCACTCCACCATTTCCTCCTCGTCCTCCTGCTCCTCCTTGTCCTCCTCCTCCTCCTCCTCCTCCTCCTCCTCCTCCTCCTCCTCCTCCTCCGCCTCCTCCTCCTCCTCGTCCTCCTCCTCCTCATCCTCATCCCCCGTGTCCTCCTCCTCCTCGTCCTCGACCTCCTCCTCCACATCCTCCTCCTCCTCGTCCTCCTCCTCCTCCTCCTCCTACTCCTTCTCTTCCTCCTCCTACTCCTTCTCTTCCTCCCCTCCTCCCCCTCCTCCTCCTCGTCCCTCCTCCTCGTCCTCCTCCTCTTCGTCAGCCTCTTCCTACCTCCTCCTCCTCCTCCTCCTCCTCTTCCTCCTCCTCCTCCTCCTCCTCCTCCTCCTCCTGATCCTCCTCCTCCTCCTCCTCCTCCTCCTTCTGCTCCTCCTCCTCCTCCTCCTGCTCCTCCTCCTCCTCATCCGCCTCCTGCAACTCTTTCTTGCCAGGCTTCCTGTGCAGCTGGAGACAAAGGGAGCTCACACTCGCAGAAGCCCCGCCAGCGCCACCTCCGCCCTCCTATGAGCTGCTGCTTTCTCCTCCTCTTCATCATCATCATCCTCATCTCACCTCACCTTACCCCACCTCATCTCATAGCATCTCATCTCATCTCCTCTCATGGCGGCAGGAAAATCGTCAGACGTTGCCATCCCATCCTCCTCCCCCTCCTCCTCCTCCTTAGCCTCCTCCTCATCCTCCTCCTTCCTACTCCTCCTCCCCTTCCTTTCGCTGCTTATCTTCCCCCTCCTCTCTCCTCCTCTCCTCATCCTCATACCCCTCCTCCTCCCTCTTTCCCCCATCCTCACTCCTCCTCCTTTCCCACCTTTCCCACCCCCTCTTCCCCTCCTCCTCCTCCACCTCCTCCTCCTCCTCCTCCTCCTCCTCCTCTCCTCCTCCTCTCCTCATCATCATCATCATCATCATCCATCCATCATCATCATCATCATCATCATCACATCATCAGCTCAGCAGCAGCAGATCATGCATCAGCATTCATCATCATCGCCCTCTCCTTCTCGCACCATCATATTGCTACTGCTGTGCGTATCATCGTCCTTCCTTCCTCCTCCTCCTCCTCCTCCTCCTCCTCCTCCTCCTCTTTCTCCTCCTCCTCCTCCTCCTCCTCCTCCTCCTCCTCCTCCTCCTCCTCCTCCTCCTCCTCCTCCTCTTCCTCTACCACGTCTGAAACTGACAGCAGGCACTTTGGTCTAAAGATGAGAACAAAACAGGATGGACACATAGATAATGATCAGCACGTGTCCCCATGAATAGGACCTAAATCGATGGCTACAAACTGTTTTCACGGTTGGCTTCGTCATCCCGCGCTCGCGTGCACGGCATTGAAAGTCTGGAAACCTGGACCTGGTGCTAAGGTAAACAAAACCGTCACGCCACCCAAACCAAATGAGGCGCGCCAAAGCCGCACGCAACAAGTTTCAGCACCCGCGGGCCCTCACAGGAAGAACGCGGCCCGTTGCGACAGCAACGTCCGGCCGATCCCCCAAACCCTGCCCACGCGGAGGGCCGAACTGGCCAGCTTCGACGCCCTCCAGTCATCCATCGCTCGGACGTCCATGCCAAACGCCCTCGCGTTGCGAAAGAATCACGACGGGAAGTTTTTCCCTATTTTCGGCCTCCTGGGGCCCTCGCTGGGCCTCGGGACCTTCAAAAAACGACTTGGGACGAGAAACCGGTCCCGGGGAAGGGGTCCAAACCTCTGGGGGTCGACGCTGCCAAAAAATCACGTCGGGGGCCAGGGGACGTCCATTCCCCGTGCACTCTTCGGTCTCGCGCGTGCTACCCCCAGACATGCGACGTCCTGATTTTTTTCAGGACGGCGTCCCCGGAAGTCCCGACCCGTTCCCCGGGACCGGCCTTCCGCCCTGAGTCGTTATTGCACGGCCCCGGGGCCCGGCAAGGAGCCCCAGGGGCCGAAAATAGCGCAAACCTTGCCGTCCTGATGTTCTTTAACGGCGCGATCATGCCTGGGCACGACGAACTCCGAGCACAGAACTCCGACGAACGCGACGAGCACGACGAACTCCGAGCACAGAACCCCTCCGCGCGTGGCCGACGAACTCCGAGCACAGAAGCGTTGGCGGCTCGGCGGTGCTCCCGCCGGCCTCCGCCGGCGGAGGCCCCGGCAGCTCCGCGGGAGCCCCTGCCGGGTGCCCTCGCGGGCGAGGCCCTCGCTGGGCTCGGGCCCCGAGGCGACGCGAGTGCTCGCAGCAGAGTGGGGCGGAGGGGGAGGGAGGAGGAGGAGGAGGAGGAGGAGGAGGAGGAGGAGGAGGAGGAGGAGGAGGAGGTTGGAGCTAATGGGGGCGGAGGAGGAGGAGGAGAGGAGGAGGAGGAGGAGAGGAGGAGGAGGAGGAGGAGGAGGAGGAGGAGGAGGAGGAGGAGGAGGAGGAGGAGGAGGGGGAGGAGGAGGAGGAGGAGGAGGAGGAGGAGGAGGAGGAGGAGCGGGGAGGAGGGAGGAGGAGGAGGAGGATGGAGGAGGAGGAGGAGGAGAGGAGGAGGAGGTAGGAGGAGGGGCGGAGGGGCGAGGGGGGAGGAGGAGGAGGAGGATGAGTGCGAGGAGGAGGTTGAGCGTCTGGGGGGCGGAGGATGAGGAGGAGGAGGAGAGGAGGAGGAGGAGGGAGGAGGAGGAGGAGGAGGAGGAGGAGGAGGGGGAGAGGAGGAGGCGGGAGGAGGAGGAGGAGGTGGGGAGGGAGTAGGGAGGAGGAGAGGAGGGAGGAGGAGGAGGGAGGAGGAGGAGGAGGAGAGGAGGTGCGAGGAGGAGGGGAGGAGGAGGCGGTGCGGGAGGAGGAGGAGGCGGCGGCGCGCGAGGGCCCAGGCCCAGCCTGCTTGGCCGAGAAGAGGGCCAGGTTCGCCCGCAGCGCTCGGTACATCTTCTGCGCGATCTTCTCCTCGGCGAGAAGAGGACGCAGGCCCCTCCTCCTACTCCTCCTCCTCCTCCTCCTCCTCCTCCTCCCCTCCTCCTCCTCCTCCTCCCCTCGTCTTCTTCCTCCTCATCATCCTCATCCTCCCGTCCCTTCTCCTCCTCCTCCTCCTCCTCCTCCTCCTCCTCCTCTCTTACCTCCTCCTCCTCCTCCTCCTCCTCTGGAGGGGGCGGATCTGCGCTGGAGAGAGGGGAGGGCACGAAGCCCCAACGGGAGGACCCTGGGCCCCGTCCTGCTCCTCCTCCTCCTCCTCCTCCTCCTCCTCCTCCTCCTCCTTCTCCTCCTCCTCCTCCTCCTGCTGCTCCTCTTGCATCCCTTCAGTCACAGATAGCTCCTCCCTGTCGCACCCTCAGACGTGTCGACCGGGCGGGCAGGGTGTTTCGCCGGCGACTTCCTCACCCTTGTGGCCCTGAAGCTTGAGACGTGCAACACTTTCGCGGATGGAGGGGGAATCACGAATGAGGCTTTCGCCTCAGCGCCGCAAGAACACGTCGTAAACGCTTGTAAGAGTGACCAGAATCGAGCACGGGTGGTTTTCAAAACGTGGTTCTCGCCTTTGCACCGCACGAACTCGTCGTCGAAGCCTACAAGAACTGCAAGGATGTAAGGCGGCTCCTTGTCCAAAAAGGGGTGCTCGCCTTAGCAGCGCTCGCACTCGTTTTGAAAGCGTGGTTGTTCAAACTATGTTTTTGACGGGGCGAGGCGTACATCATCTTAGCAACTTGCAACAGTACAAGTTTGAGGGCGGCTCCTTTCCTAAATGTGGCTCTCGCCTTAGCGCCGCGCACACGCGTCGCAGAACCTTGCAACGGGCACAAGGGTGGAGGACGGCTCGTATTCAAAATGATGATATTGTTTGAGGCTGCCTCAATCCTACAGACCTGCAGCATGAACGAATGCAGCAGCTGCACGAGTCGACGGCGGTTCCTGCTCAAACCGAGGCTGTCGCTCAAGACCTTCTCGAAACCGATGGCCAAGCATGCAAGCTTGCGTAACAGGTACACAGACGGAGGTGGCCATTAGGATGGCACAGGACAGAGCACCCAAGCTGGACTCGTGGCATAGTCTTAGGAACACTCAGCCACGTCTGGGACGGAGCAGCCGTCACTTGAAATGTCGCAGGCGGAGGGCGTAGAGTGGGGACGCGAACGGGGAAGGATGGTAGGAAATACGAAGGGGAGGGGGGAGGGGTAAACCGAAGCCAGGCCCCCATCACACTTCTCCACTCGAGTCGCGTGGCGACTCTGGTTCGGGGGTCGGGTGCACAGGCTCCGTGGTAACAATATGGCGCTGGCCACTGACATCCGTGCTCCTCACTCCTGCTTTCTTCTCACCTCCTTCTCCACGGCTCTTCGGCACGCCATCTCATTCTACAGCACGGGCACACGAGAGCGAAGCATATAACGGGACCCTGCCGCTGGACAAGGATAGAACCTGATACAGGCGTGTGAGCTCAGAAATCACCTCCTCCACCGCCGCCGCTTCATACTCATCCTCGCCCTCATCATCCGCATCCCCATCATCACCCTCTTCATCCTCATCCTCATCATCAGCAGCAGCATCGCCTTCGTCATCGTCATCGTCGTCATCATCATCATCACCACCAGCATCATCACCATCGTCATCATCATCAGCATCATCGACGTCCTGATCATCATCACCATCATCATCATCATCACCAGCATCATCACCACTATCCTCATCAACAACATCATCGTAGTCAGCATCAGCATCATCATCAGCATCGGCAGCATCAGCATCAGCATCATCCTCGCCATCACCATCGTCAGCGTCAACGTCATCAGCATCGTCGTCATCAACCTCAGCATCAGCATCGTCATCATCATCAGCGGCGTCATAATCATGACAATAATCATCATCATCAGCAGTAGCATCAGCAGCATAAGCATCAGCATCATCAGCATTATCATCCACGTCCTCACCATCCTCATCATCCTCTTCTTCATCATCACCAACCACCAATCACAACATCATACACATCAGACGCAACATCCTCATTGTCAGCAGCAGCATCATCATCGTCATCATCATCAGCAGCATCAGCATCAGCATCAGCATCAGACTCATCATAATACGCATCATCATCTTGATCATCATCGTCATCAGCAGCAGCATCGTCGTGACAATGATCATCAGCATGCCCATCCACCAGCATCAGCAGCATCATCGTCATCATCAGAGTTGCTCTCATTATCTTATCATACACATCCTCATCCGCATCCGCATCGCCATCCTCCTCATCACCACCATCAGCATCATCATCATGATCAGCACCATCGTCACCATGTCATCAGCATCAGCAACATCCTCAGCACAACATAATCTGCATCATCGCCCTCCGCATGATGAGCACCGTCAACACCAGCATAACCACCACCTTCATGACACGCAGCATCGTCATTACCATCATCTCCATCGTCATCATTTGCACCTCACCATCATCAACAACAATAACAACATTATCAGCAGCATCACCATCATCGTCAGCGTCATCACCACCACCGCCGACACACCCAACATCACCACCTGCACCACCAGCATCATCAGCAGCATGAGCACCATATCCAGTTCCTCAACGTCTTCTTCTTCTTAACCATCAGCATCATCACCACCAGTCGTCGTCATCATCGGCCGCAGCATCATCATCAGCATCGTCGTCAGCATCATCGTCATCATCAGCATCATCACCACCACCCGCATCACCATCATCATCATCAACATCAGCATCATCGCCATCATCATCATCATCATCATCATCATCATCATCATCATCATCATCATCATCAGCATCATCAGCATCATCAGCAGCAGCAGCAGCATCAGCATCAGCATCAGTATCATCATCATCACCATCATCATCCTCAACATCATCAGCATCATCATCGTGGTTAGCATCATCACCATCGTCAACAATGTCATCAGCGTAAGTTCCACCAGCCCTTTGGGCGTGAGTGGTTTAGAGAGCTCTCTCTGTCCTCAACCCCCCTTCTTCCCCTTCGGGGAGGGGTTTACCCATCCCCCTACCCCCTCCCCCTGGGCCTGGAGAGGAGGTTTCGCGGGTGGCCAGGGTGGTCCTTTTCGGCTCCTGGGAGGGCTACAAAACGACACCCCTCACGAGGATTCTGGCCCCGACGGGGGGACGCAGTTAGGCCCCCCTCCTCTTCGTTGAAACCAAAAACATTGATTTTACAATGGTTTCGGCCCCAGTTTGGCCTCCTGAGGGGGCCGCGCTCTTCTGCCTTCATAGCAAAATCATTGATTTTACGAGGGTGTTGGCCTCATGTTGTCCTTCTCAGGGGGGCGGCGCTCATTTGCGCTTCTGAGGAGGTCGCCAGAGGCCCCAAGATGGCCCCAACAGGCCCCCAGGACGCTCCCAAGAGGCCTCCAGGCCCCCAAGAGGCACCCAAGAGGGCCCAAGAGGCCCCCAATAGGCCCCCAAGAGGCCCCCAAGAGGCCCCAAGAGGCCCCCAAGAGGCCCCCAAGAGGCCAAGAGGCCCCCAAGAGGCCCCCAAGAGGCCCCAAGAGGCTCCAAGAGGTCCCTCAGAGGCCCCACGAGGAGCCCGAACGACTCACATCAGGACGAGGGGCCCGAACAACTCACACCACGAAGAGCCCGAACGACTCACACCACAAGGAGGGGCCCGAACGACTCACACCAGGACGAGGCGCCCGAACGCCTACACCACGAGGAGCCCGAACGACTCACACCACGACGCGGGCCCCGAACGACTCGCACCACGAGGAGCCCGAACGAGTCACACCAGGAGGAGGGGCCCGAACGACTCACACTAGGATGAGGGGCCCGAACAATTCACACCACGAGAAGCCCGAACGACTCACACCAGGACGAAGAGCCCGAACGACTCACACCACGAAGAGCCCGAACGACTCACACCAGGAAGAAGGGCCCGAACGACTCACATCAGGACGCGAAACCCCAAACGACTCCAATCACGAGGAGCGCTTTCTCTCCCTCCTCCTCCGCCTCGTCCTGTTCCCGCTCCCCCCACAAGGAGGATGTACAAGGAGGCGGGAGGAAGGAGGAACAGGGGCGAAATGCAGGGCCAAGCGGACACACGCCTGAAAAACACGACTGTCGGCATGCTTCGCGAGAGTTGCTGCTGTGAGATGGGCTGGTGGGGATACGCGAAGCGTAAAGAATTTCGTCATCATCAGCATCATCGTCATCATCATCAACATCATCAGCATCAGCATCATCAGCATTACCAACACCACCAGCACCACCAGCATCATCATCATCACCATCATCATGATCATCATCAGCAGCAGCGTCATCAGCAGCAGCATCATCGTCATCGTCATGATCATCAGCATCAGCAGCAGCATCATCATCATCATCATCATCATCATCATCATCATCATCATCATCATGACAACCATCATCATCATCATCATCATCATCATCATCATCATCATCATCATCATCATCGTAATCATCAGCATCGGCATCAGCAGCAGCATCATCATAATCATCGTCGACGCAATCATCATCCTCATCCTCATCATCCTCATCATCAGCATCGCCATCACCATCGACAACCAACCACAACATCATACACATCAAACGCAGCATCCTCGTCACCAGCATCAGCAACATCATGATCATCGTCATCATCATCATCATCATCATCATCATCATCATCATCATCATCATCATCATCATCATCGGCATCATCATCATCATTCGCAGCATTATCATCAACATCAGCATCAGCATCATGATCAGACTCATCCTCAGACCCATCATGCTCATCATCATCATCATCATCATCATCGTAATCGGCAGCATCATCGTCGTGACAATGATCATCAGCATCACCATTCACAATCATCATCAGCATCATCGTCATCTTCATCGTCGTCCTCATTATCATGTCATCCTCATCCGCATCCTCATCCGCACCCGCATCGCCATCCTCCTCATCACCATCATCATCATCAGCACCATCGTCGTCATCAGCATCACCAACATCATCATCTGCCTCATCACAAGCATCATCACCATCGTCCTCAGCATCATCTGCATCATCATCATCCGCGTGATGAGCATCGTCAGCACCATCATTACCACCACCCCCATGACAAGCAGCGTCGTCATGCTCACTATCACCTTCGTCATCATAAGCACCTTATCATCATCAACAATAACAACATCATCAGCAGCATCACCATGATCGTCAGCGTCATCATCACCACCGCCAACACACCCACCATCACCACCAGCACCACCAGCATCATCAGCAGCATCAGCATGGAATCCTTTCCCTCAACCTCGATTTCTCCTTTTCTTAACTAACCTAACTATCAGCATCATCACGACCACTGTCGTCATCATCAGCATCATCATCATCATCAGCATCGTCGTCAGCATCATCGTCATCAGCATCATCGTGATCAGCATCATCATCACCAGCACCAGCCTCACTATCATCATCATCAGCATCATCATCAGTATCAGCACCATCGTCATCAATGCCATCAGCATCACTTTCGTCATCATCACTATCATCAACAACATCGTCATCATCATCATCATCATCGTCATCGTCGACAGCATCGTCACCATCAGAATCATCATCGTCGTCATCATCAGCATCCTCATCATCATCGTCCTCTGGGATTTGGTCACAGCTCCAAAGCAGACGGTCCAAAATCGGCGCGCTTCACGCTGCGAAGGAAAATCTTGTCATGGCGAACTCTAATGCCTTGGGAGATGTCATCTCCACGTTCGCGTTCACATCCAGAGTATGGGAAGGATGCACATCCCAAGCAAGAGCTTGTCTGAAGAGATGGCGTCCTCGATGATTTGGTTATGTAGCAAGCCCCCAGGTCCCAGAACCTGACGCATCAAGCTACAGCACGGCCTTCAATATCGAGCCCAGCTCTTACCCAAGATATAACTATTTGCCGCCTCTGTCGAAAGCCTGAGGCCCAACATGGACCTCCACCTGCTTCTAGAAAAGCCGGGCTCGCGCGAACGAGTTTCTCACGACGGAGACCTCAGGCGGTCTGGATACAACTTCTGAGAGGGGGGCTGATGGGGCGCACGAACAGGAACGCAAACAGCTTCCTATGGTAGCGTGGGCCGGGAGACGCCTCGTCCTCCTCGTCGCCGTCAGTCACCGCCGTCGTTTTCATTGTCGTCGTCGCCGTCGTCACTCGCAGTCGTCACGCTCCCCCTCGCCGAATCCTCCTCCTGATCCCCGCTAATGTCCTGCCCGAACGTCGGCACAGAAGACCAGGGCCCCTGTGCCCCCACCCAGAACGCGCGGCGGCCAGGGCAGTCTCCGAGGCATCGGAGGGAAACTTCGCGTGAGTGGCGATGTCGTACAGCACGGTGGTCTGGAACCCACCCTCCTGGCACTTCTGCAGTGCCTTCGGCGGCGGTGGGGCAGTGGTGTTTGGACCGCGCTGGAGGGGGGCAAACGTGAAGCAGACCGGCCGACCTGGGCGCCTGACTTCCTTGTGCGCCGCTGCCCCCCCCCCCCTCCCTTCGTGCGCACACTCCCCGAGAAGGGCCCTCACTGCAGGCTTCACGCTCCTCTCGATGCGTGCGCGATCGCGCGGGTCCGCCGACGTGTCGCCTCGTGGGCGCCCCGTGGGCGCCCCGTGGGCGCCCCGTGGGCGCCCCGTGGGCGCCTCGGGGGCGCCCCGTGGGCGCCCCGTGGGCGCCCCGTGGGCGCCTCGTGCTGCGTGCGTCGCCGGGTGCTCCACCCGTGGGCGCCTCCTGGGCGCCCCCTGCGCCGGCGGGGGCCGCCGAGCTCCCCCCCGGCGGGCGCCCTCCGCGCGCGGCCGGCCCCGCCGAGGCGCCGCCCCGCGGGCGCCCGCGGGCGCCGCCGCGGACCCCCCGGAGCTCTCCGCGCAGAGCTCCGGCAGCTGCACGGCCGGAGGCGCCCGGGCGCCTGCGGAGGAGCGCGGCGGCCGCCTCGGCAGCGCGCGGGGGCCCGCTCGGAAGCTGCCGCCGCCGGCACGGCTCGGGCGCAGGGCGGGCTGCGAGCCTGCGGCGCTCGCCGTCTCTCGCGGCGCGCCGTCGTCTCGGGTGAGCCCCACGACGGCGCACTCTGGGTGGGGGAGGGGGGGAGGGCGGCTGCCGCTGAACATCACATCGTGCGCGACTTCCTCCAGATGCGCATGCCCCAGAATACTCCCAGATCCCACCAGACCTGTGGGCGTAGGCGGCCAAGGACGCTTCCTCGTCCAAGCCCCTTCGTCCCCCTCGAGGCGGGGTTCACGCCTCCCCATGGTCCACGCCAGAAGACTTCCCCGATCGTCTGATCAGGCGAAGAGGGTTGTCCCATGCCTTTCAGGATGGACGAGGTTCTGACGTGAGGCCTGACGAGGGGGAGGAGGAGGAGGAGGAGGAGGAGGGAGGAGGAGGAGGGAGGAGGAGGAAGGAGAGGAGGAGAAGAGGAGGAGGAGGAGTCGAGGAGTGTTGAAGCCTCATGTGGTCTGGTAGAGGGGTCGCGTTGGAGCCTCTTGAAGGCCCCTCGGCGGGCCTGCTTGGGGCTTCTCGGACGCGTCCTGGCCTGGGGGCCTCTGGGCTGTGTCTCGGGGGCTCCCCGGGGCGTCTTAGGTGGCCTCCGGCGGCCTCCTGGGGGCACCTTGGCGTGAAGTGCAGGTGTTTCCGCTGGTCTTCTCAGCACGTGGACGGGCACGGATTCCTCCTGGGAACCTCCTTGATTCTTGGGGCCCCCACGAGGCCCTGTTGGGGGCCTCGTGGGTCCCTCTGGGGCCGTGCGTTTTTGTTTTTTGTTGGCTGCTTTTGCATATAGTTTTCTGGGGGGGGTCCCTCTGGATCCCGAGGGTCCCTCGTGGGCTCCTCGTCCTCCTCCTCCTCCTCCTCCTCCGCCTCCTCCTCCTCCTCCTCCTCCTCCTCCTCCTCCCCCGAACCTGGGCACCTTCCCTTAGGCTCCAGAGCGAGCGAGCGAGGGGGGGAAGTGAGAAGGAGAAGGCCTTCTCAGAAGGCGGCGGGACTTCTCAGAAATCCTCGCGCCTTCTGAGAGGTTGTTTGCGTTTTCGGGGAAGGCTTGGAAAACTTCTCAGAAGGCCGGAGAACTTCCGAGCCTTCTGAGAAGGCCTTCTCCCTCTCACTTCCCCCCTCGCTCGCCGCCGAACCCAAAACGCCGAAAAGGGGAACACCTAATAGCCAACGATGTGTGCCTGCTGGGGGCCTCTTGGGCACGCTCTCGGGGACATGTTTGTAAAGTCTTCGCCTTGGGCCGATCTGGAGGCTGCCTTGGCTCTTGTATCGTCTTGTCGTGTCTTGTCTCAACTTCTCTGGCCCTGTCCTGTCTTGTATGATCGCGTTGAGCCATCTTGAGGACCTCTGAAGATGTCATGGAGGCCATTCCACGCCTGCTCAGAGCCCTGCTCGACCGGAAAGGTTTGCTCAAGGTTTCCTGCCTTCTCGCAGAACATCCCCAAGAAGGGCCCAGATGTGTTCCAAGACGGGCCGAAGGCCCCCAAAAGCCTTCCAAACCGTCCCAAGAGAGCTCCAGGGGGTGGTTTCCCGTGCTCATGAGGGGCCATGCGAATGGGCATCGCTTCCTGAGTTCCTTCTTCACAGAGAGGTCAGGTCAGAAGCCTTGCGCCAGACGGCGCGCGAGCAGGGTGAAACAAGACGATTGCGCCTGCGAAGGTGCCCTTCGGCACTCCATCCAAAGCAGGCTCTGCAACGCATGTCCGGCTGATATATATATATATATATATATATATATATATATCAGACAAGGGGGAGGAGAAGGAGGAGGAGGAGTGGGGAAAGCTAGCACCAGACGGAGCGCAAGCAGAAAGCACGCAAAGTGTACACACAACCGGTCAGTCGTGTGGTAACCTGAGTAGTTGGGGAAAGTTAGCCGCTCGGGAGCATCCTCGGGAGATCGTGGCCCAAGATGGCTCTGAGACTGCCCCCGATGTCCTAAGCAGGACTCCAAGATGGCGCAAGACGCTCCAAGTTGGCTCAGGATGGCCTCCAGCATGCACCCGAGGATGCAAAGTAAGACGCAAAACCCTTCAGCAGCGCAAGTCGAGACCGCAGCGAGGAGCGCGCTCGGCATCACCGAGAAGCCCTCACGCGCTGCACATCGAAGCTCTCAAGCCAACGCGCTTCGCCCGTGCGCATCGATTGTCTCGATGTCCGCGGCCGTGCGCTCGAAGGGCCTCGAAGACCGAATATTCAATGGATATGTGGGAAAATCCCTCGAACTCGAAGCAGCACGTGAGAGAACAAATCGGAACATGCCCTTGAAGCAAGACGGATAGGAAACCCTGCGGCATCTTCGTAGTCCTCCTCCCCCTCCCCCTCACCCTCCTCCTAACTCTCATCCTCGTCTATATTCCACTCTCCTCC